CCAAGTAAGTTGTTGATGATGAACTGACTTTGACAGAGGTAAGATTGTATGAAACTCAACCATGCAAAATAGCAGTAAGCATAGGTGAGTCCAATATGACTTGGCTATCATTAATGAATAAGACCAAGATACCAACTGGGGAAATTTGGGGCTATTGGCAAGGTTTTGACACAAATTTAATCAAACACACCCAAAGTGAGAATTCCAATTGTGGGCTTCGATGTTGCTGGCAAAGTCTCAACATGGATACAAACCAAGTAAGGTCGAAGTAAAACTCTGGTTGACTCCAGGGTTGTTGGGAGTGACAAATCTCGAATATGTGCAAAGTAGAGCCAAGATCAACCAAGACAAGAAGTAGCATAAATAACACCCATGAAATATTCATAAAATTACTCTAAACAAGCAAAATTACTCTTGTGCTTGGCTGAACCCTTCTTTGTAAATTTCACCAAAGTAATCTTCTAAGAAAGCTTGAGTGTGATTCAGAGAATACTCAACAGTGATTCCAACCGGTGTAGATATGAGTCTAGTGAACAAGCTCTCAGTCGCATCTTCATCAGGTCTTACATGGCCTGCACTATTTTTCTTCTTGGAAAAATAATACATTGAGCAGTTATTGCAAAAAAAATTTCCCCTTCCCTTTTTTTTTCTTTTGGCACTGTTCATGTGCAGTTTATATCTAAAGAAAAATTCAAACTATTCCCTAGGGAATTTTTCAACAATTAGAGAAAAAAAGTAACTCCCCCTTTTGAAAAATAAAGAAATTGAATTTTTCCAAAAATCTCGTTATGATGGCACATAAAAAAGGGAGATTTTAAAAGAGATAGCATACATGTATATCCATTAAGACAATGTGCACCTTACTTGCATCCCCTCTAATAATTTTTGGTTACGTTGATGTGCGACAAGTGGCAAAGTGGTTGGCCAGTGCACTTAATGCTACCCTTAATTTCACTTTCTGCCATTCGCCTTGTTCCTTAGTGAGCCTTTCAATTTGCCCCCTTCTTTTTCACAAAACCACTGAACCCTTCTTTCTTTTTGCTACGCCTTTGATTTTCATCATCTTCTTCACAAAACTTTGGGTTTCCCAACAAAATGACCAAATCTTTTTTGAGGAGGCTGATTAAGTGTGCAAATTTGACAAAGTCTTTCTTCTAACCAAGGTAACATGAATCTATCTTTCTACTGC